TAAGGGTGTCATATTGTGTATATATTTTTATGTGTATATGATGATTTAATTAATCTTAAATATATAATATTTTAGTTTATATTAATCAATATATAATATTAATTAAAAATATTAGATATTAATGGCACATTATTATCAATTTATACAGAGAATTGTGTTGGCCAATCATTTGGCTTATTGCCTTGGGTGTTTAAGGTTGATGCAGGTGACAGGTTGGGATGTAATCAATTTGTTCCATGGGAAATGTTGGGAAGCTGGGAGGTGGAGCACCTATAACCGACAGCTTATTGGCTGTTGATTATAATAGGTTCGCCAAAATTGGAATCGCGCGGGCTTGAAATTTTTAAACATTATAACCAACAGAATTTCTGTCGAATATATTCCTTTTTATACCCACTTCCGGAGTTACCCTGTGTTGCTTCTTCTTAAAGCTTCTCTTTCCTTTCCCTTCCCCTTTCAATTCCTTCTCAGACATGGTGCCACAGTTTTTTTAAGAAACTCCATAGCTGTTGGTAAGATATACAGGAGATATGGGTTTTGTTTGGTTTTAATCTAATCTTTATTGTTACTTATAATATTATCTATAACTTATTTATATCTCTTGATCTATTGATTCTCTTATTGTTTTTGTTTACTGTTAATTATTCAGATTTGCTTAGGGATTTTGTGCAAACCGACCCACTTGTCCCTTCTAAGGATTGTCTGCGACCGGATCCCAGCCATTACTTCCATCTGTAAGATAGGAATAAAATGGGTTTTGCTTTGTTTTGTTTGGGTTTTGAAGATTTCCAATACTAATCCATCAAGGCAGGGACTAATCTAATTCTTAGTTATAATATATATGCTTAATTAATTTCTCCTCTTTTCATATCTATTAATTCTCAATTATTTTTATTTAATTTTAACTGAGAATGAATGACCCCTACTTGTACTAAAAAAAATAATTTATTACAATTTACTAATTATTTAATTAAAAGTAAAGTCACAAATGAAAATATATTGTTGCATTATTTGACAAGGATATTACTGACTTCATATCCCTGTCATATGGAAGAATTTCTCCAAGTTTTGGGAATTGGTTTTTTGATTTCATTTGGTAGTGAAAATACCCCGAACAAATTCAAGCTACATGGTTATAATTATAATACCGAAATAAGACAGAAGAAATAAATGCAACAATTATGGAATCATTCTTTTCGGTAACAAAATTATCCGGGTTGGTGTTACATTCATTCAGCGAACGAAAACAATGCAATAATTTAAAGAAACTTGCAGCTTGCTTTCTAAGTACCGAGTTCAAACTTGCAGCTTGCTTTCTAAGTACCGAGTTCAAACTTTTCAGCAGCTTTCTGAATTAAATTACAGATGATATCTGGTATTCTAGCATAAGCTGTCATGGCTTCACAAAGCCAAGTATGGTGGATGCTGCGATCATACTTGGGCTATAAGAAGAAATGATCAATCCAGTATCCTGCTTTCCAAAATTGTTAACGGGTCTTTTTGAAGGACATATAAGCTCCATTACCTTTCCAGCTGCAACAATTTGCTTCTCTTGAAGGGCTTTGTCCCCAATAAGTTCGCTGCAAGGAGACACAATCTCAAAGTCAGGTTTTCAATCGCTTGAGTCATGTATTGTTACATTTTTAACATATTCTGCCAAATTGAAATTAGGCAAAAGGCTTTCTCAAAAAAAAAAAAGAAGAAAAGAAGAAAAGAATATAAGTAATAGGTTTCAAGTAACAAAGAACAACATTTGCAAGTTCCAACATCTTCCTCTGTTTTCTACCAAGTCACACTTTAAATGCTTAGTGGTTAAACAAACTATGAAAACTGGGAAAAAAATTGCTTGTATTGCAATGATATCTCACTTGGGCGCCGATCAAAAAAAAAAAAAACAAAATGAAATTCTTACTTGAGCCAGGAAGCTAGCTTTACAGGCGAACATGCCTCGAAAAGTACTTCAGGAATAACGGGACAATCCAGCAGAATATTGGGTAGTGAAATGTATGGTATCTTTGCTTTATATTGAATAACCCATTCGGTAAGAGGATGGGCTCGGTAAGTGCAAATACAAGGCAACCTTGCAAGTTGCAATTCCATGGCAACCGTTCCTGAGGTACATAATGCAACTTTGCTTGCCTGCAAGACATTAGCGTAATTTACTTATAAATTCAAACCTATTAAGTCCAGAGTAAAGTGGTTTTTTTTTCCTAATCCAGAAATGAAGTTACATCAGTCCATGCTGGTGAAAAGTCAAAAGGCAGAACGCCAAATCCAAGCATTAAAACGCAGGAGAATATTGCTATAAGTTTAAAATTTACCGTGTAAATTAATTAAATAATCAACAGTTTAACCTAAAGTCCTATTTTCCAGCCAAACAAAATCTAGGCATATATTTATCTTCAGTAACCTATGTACAAAAATAGGCAGAGCAGTACCCACTGCTGGATACTGATGAGGCACTAGTCCTCAAGAATTTTACAAAATGATGTAGTCAAGGAAGAATTCTAAGAAGAATTATTTATATTATTTAGGATTGACAGGAAATTATGACTATTTATGGGTTAATTCACAATTAAAATGAAATTCTAGGTCTATCTTCCATCCCTTTCAATGTATTTTCTCTCCCTCTATTCTTCTTTCACTTCTATCTTAGATCAAAAAGTTCATTGAACCAAATACATATACAAAAGAACCAATACCCAAGATCAAGTAAAATCTTTATTATGAGGTGACAACTGACAAGCATAAATCTGGGACACTGACCCTTATTCAGTCACAATTGGATTGGCTACTAATTATCAACACACAATTAAGATTTGAATGTCTCACATTGAATGCATCATATTTCAGATATGGTGTTCCTCCAGGAATTGGTATAGCAGGCACTGGCCAATTATGAATTGCTCTAGAAACGTACTTATCCACATGCTGATTAGGCGCCACAAGGATAACATTCATCAACTCAGAATAAGAGTCTCTCAGTTGTTGCATTGTATTTGCAAAGATGGGAAGCATTCTGGTAACCTCTTGTAGTCTGCTTCCAGGTAGCAGGCTGATGACTGTTGCTCCTTTAAAAGATTAAAAGTTACCAAGTGTTAGATAACATTTTAATTTTATTTTTAATATAAACAAATAAATCTTTCTGCCTATCAGCGTAAGTGCAAACTTAGAAGCAAAAACATGACCAAAATCAAACCCAGATTGTCAGACCCTGATAAAGAAAAAAAAAAAAGAAAAGAAAAGAAAAAGAAAAACAGAAAAAACTGGTTTCTTCCCATCCCTTTATCCTGTGGTGAGGAAGAGTAGACTAGTTCTCACTTATTTTTTGCCCATACTACTAGGGAGATTTAGAGGGCTATATGTAAGAAATTTGGAATTGATAGATTGCCTTGTTGTTGGGAGATACAATGGAGGTGGCTTAAGCATGTGTGGGAAAAGGAATAGTAGGGTGTTGATTATGACGTCTATATGATCTGGGGAGAGATATGCAAGAATTTTTCAGTGTTAACAGGTGAGCAGCTTATTGGATGTATATGAAGGTTTAGCATGGTTGGGAGCCAGATTTTTGATAGTTTGAATTTTGGATTGATTGCCCTGGCTCCTGGAATGCCTGGGAGAGTGTTTGCAAGAAATTTAGTTTCCATTCTCTCAAAAAAGGAAAGAAAAAAATGTTTCTTCTCAGAGAATCAGAAGAAAGCAATCCTATCAGTATCACATTGAACCAGTTCAAAAATAAGCTGGCAGTTGAGACATGACAAAAGTATCATACTTGCTTTACTCACAAATACCACCAGCTGAGAAAATCGCTAAGGTGTACATTGAAGAAGGTTTAGGAATGAGAAAATTGTAAGTGCAATAATTACAAAACAGAAATACCATATTAACACCCTTTACCTGAAGGCACATCATATTTTATTCGGAAGTCTTCACCATTTCCTTCTATTCTCCACTCATCAGCCATTGTTTCCTTTCCCTAAACATGGGAGATTGTGTCAACATTAAAATAACTGGAAAATGTGCAAATAAATGGGAACAAGTGACCACATTTAAAGGAGCTGTAAGGAAATAGAAAAAATCACAACAATGTAAAATAAACTTGACAGTAATACATGCAACAAGAGTAGAAAGTTAGATGATACCAAGTTTACCTCCAAAACATCTTCTAGAATGGGGTGGCCCACAAAGGTTGCAGGAAGTCCATTTGAACGACAAACAGGTTCTTCATTTGGGAGAATACACAAGACATGATCTACAAATTTTGCCAGGCCTTTGAGTCTTGCTTCACCTCCTTTCCATGCCCAGAATGAGGGTGCTACATAATGGAAGTGAACTGAACCATCCAACCTTTGCTCATCATATCTAGCTGCAAAAACCAGTCCCCTATTTTCCTATGCATACTTATTTCACAAGTAACAATACGGATCCTAACTCCAAGAGGGTGGTATAATTACCCCTTAACTGTTTAAGGAAACGGAAAGAGAACCCCTTCAAGTCCACTGTCACAACAACGTGTGGCCGGAAGAGTAAAGCAGCCTCTATTGCTTCCTTCATCCTCACCTAGCATAACAAAATTCCAGTATTAAAAATCCCACCAAGCAAGAAGCAAAATTGCACCATACCACAATGCAGATTTCGCACAACTCACCCTGATATTATACAAATGAGGTAATAATTCCCAGATTCCCATTAGTGCAATATCCTCCATTGGAAACAGAGATTGTAGACCTTGCTTGGACATCATTGACCTTACAGATAAAGAGGGATACCTTTTTGTTAATAACAAAACCAAAGAGAAAGCAATAAGGTTCAGGATCATATGCCTATATCAAAAATATTGATGCCGATTAAGAGAGACACAATTCCAACAAAAAAATCTACCGAAAGCCGTTTTTTTTTTTTTTCAAATCTGGTCAGAAAGGTAAAAATCAATTGCCTTTGTCGGCCACAAAAAAATATATATTATAATAATAATTGCCTTCTCCAAATCAGGCATAGTTTTCATTTCCTTAAGCTCTTCTGTAAGCCATATATTCATCTTTCTCACCAACAATCAAAATCAATGCCTTAAAACTTATATAGCTAATGAATTAGAAGATCCAATGGGAACTGTGAAGAAAAAAGCCACTATATCTACCCTGATCCGGTTATCTACCCAGTGAAAGAAACATCTTCCAAAGACCCACAAGCATGAATATGGAAATAGATAGTGAACATAAGCAGTGCTAATCGCTTACCCTCCAACGCCTGAAAAACGGATTGGAAAAGGAGAGAGCTTCTTTAAAGAAGCCATTAGGCGAGAACCAATGGTATCTCCACTAACCTCCCCTGCAAAAATGAACACCCTTAGCTCGCCGTCCCTGGCGGCTGCGTCGATTACTGCTCTACTTGAAACCCACAAGCATCTCTTCACTGCACTCGACAACCCAATGCTAGTCGGACGCGCAATGTTCTGAATTGCAGTTAACGACATCTCCAAAATCAAAACAGGATTCTACAGTCTCCAGAAGACCTAATTAACCCAGGAATTGAAGATTCCGAAACGACGAAAATGAGATGCAAGCAGGCCAATGTAACCGGAAATGGACGAAGTCGAGTTTGAAGGTTTTTCTTTCGGCCTATCGCCCATCCATTCCAATTCCTTTAACCCTAGCGAGGTTCTTATGAGAACACCCTCTCCCCCAAGAATCTGACCAAAATTATAAAATATTTTCATAAAAGTTATTAATTTTATTTTATTTAATTAATAAAAATAATTAATAACTATAATTATTAATTAAT